TGACGCTTGAGAACTGTGGATAACCGCACTAATCACTATTTGTGCTCGTACACAAGATTTAACCTACCACGTAATTAACTTTACCTACAACCTACGACCGTTTTTTAAAGTAGCCATTTCAGTTCAGTTCTTAGAATTGAAAAGTTTCACTTAACAGCGGTTTACTTTCATAACAGCATAGTTACATATCATAACAGCATAGTTTTTCTCATAATAACACGGGTAACGGACCAATGAGGTTCAAGGATCGAGAGAAAACAAGTACAATTGTAATGCTTCGAACGTCAACTAATCAGCTGATCAGTTGACAATTTTAATTGTTGATCCAACTTGTTCCTGTTGATACTGTATTCTTAACCTAAGTTGGTAGAAGTTAAAGGAAGGTAGGTTAAACTGATTTAAAAATGTCAAAAAGTGAAGTTGACGAGATAGAAATGAGAGCACAAACTGTTTGTGCTCATTTTTGGCCACCAAAATCAAAACAAAGGTATGAAATTACATTACCAGCAATTCATTAAATGGGCGAAACAAAATTAAATTGATTAATGAAAATGTTCTTCTGGTTTATTTTGAAAACCTCTTAACCACTTTTTCACCCAACTCGTTGTGGACCACATATTCGATGCTGAGATCTAACTGTAAATTAACCGTTTCACTATATTATAGTTAAACAAATAAAATGGCCACCATTTTGAATTTTTAAGCCGAATCAAGATGTATTTTTTTCTAACATGGGTCTCTTCTACGTTAATATACATGCCAAGTTTTATAAAGATCAGTTGAAAAAATTCAAAGATAAAAATGTTTATGTAAAAAATACAAAATCGCTGATATCTGGTTAAAAAGCGATTTTGGAAAAAATTGATTCTTGATTTCTCTTAATTTTAACCCAAGGAATCACTACGTAAAATATGTCCCCACCTTTTTTGAACACCCTGTATACTTTTCATTGTTCAACATAGAATCTTTTGGTATACTGTATACATGTAAAATTACGTAGAAATAAACTAAAAATAAATATTTTTGTATTTTCCAAAATGGCGGCTATTTTAAACCATTTAAATCAATAATATCTGAAACCAAGAATTTTACAGAAAAACACAATGAATACGGTAATAAAATTGTTTGAATAAAAAGAAAACTAATGCCACCTTTATTAACGAAATCGGTTGAGAAAGAAAACAAGTTATGGCACTTTCATCACCCGATCTACTTATTATTATATATAATTCAGTTTACAAAATCTTTGTACAACTAAATCTAGAGTTCTGCTATACCGATTTTATTAATTAATAAGTCGTCGGAAAGCTTAATTCGTATGGATTTGCAAATAATTATGAAAGTTTGTTTTTGTTATGATTTATGATGAAAAAATCATACAATGAAGTTAGTATATTTATGTTATGTGTTTGGTGGTGGATTTATGGTGAAATTTTTTTCTTCATAAAAATGCATTCAAAACATTGGTTTTCACATTTTTTATTTGGTTGCAACTCTTGGCTGTTTTTAAAAATATTTTCAATAAATGCATGGTAACAATTTGTAGGCTGTGTTATTCTCTTTCAGAATGTCACCTTCCTCTTTGGTCGATTTCCTAACCGTTAAAAAGTTATTTGCAAAAAAAACTATCGTAGGTATCGTTTGATAGGGAATTAAAAATACTAAATAAAAGTGTTTTAGACATTTTTTCATAAAACCAGATTTTTTTATTTATTTTGACCCAAGGAATCACTACGTAAATTATTTCCCCTTTTTTGAACACCCTGTATATTTCATATCCCCTGCTTTTTATTTCTTAGTTTCGTTTCGACCAATTGTTGTAACTACAAGTACACAATGAGAAACACGTTAAATGCAATTCAGGTGAGCTGGTGTTTCAATCTGAAGTCGTGGGTTCGCGTACTACAGTAGTAACCCGCCACTGCATTTCATCAGTGAAGGGACAGAAGTTCCCTGTGGTACTAAGTCCTATTTGATATGCTGGATACGCTCCACGTACGGACGAGGCCTAAGTGGACGGGTAAACGCAAAGGTTACAAAAGCTCCAATGTCATAAAATAATAAATTAAATAAGTCGAGTCACCAAGAGCAGCATGTATTCACCATGTATTATGATGTGAAACTCCTATGCAAGTTTCATGTTGTAAAGTCGCTATTAAGTGCTATTTATCAATACGAACATGTAGACTAAAGTACTGTAGTTAAGCCTGTGTGAGGTTCAGTCGTGTAGGAGGCCGACCATGTCCATAATAGCCTCTGATAGCATCTGCTTGGCCACTAAGGCGCCGCCCCTTGCACTCTCTTAACCTCGATATACAAACTATTTCAGAAAACGAAATACTGATATTTTTATTCCGCCATTTTATTATACAGGGTGGAACAAAGTTAGTGTTAAAAATTTGTATGTGTTAAACTACATAGTATTGCTGACAAAATTACACTAATCTAGATTAATCCCTCACAGGTAGGAAAAAACAGACAGATTAATATTTTTATTAAATATTTTTATTTGCTTACATTGGATTATTACTACCATTACTATTGGAAGTTTAACGACGATTTTGAAAATGACATTACATTCTAAATAAAATAATTTTCAGTGCACTTATGGCTATTTTATTTAAGAAAATACAAATATTTGAAAAAAATCTTAATTTGTCTGCTTGCTACCTGTGAATAACCACAGCTCGCAGATTTCGTAGATTTCGCTGGTAAATCTATATTAGTGCCATTTTGTCACCAATACTAAGGAGTTTAACATATACAATTGTTTAACACTAACTTCGTTCTTTCCTGTATAATAGATTGTCAGGGTGTATAGTCTGGGATCCGAGGAGAAGGTGATTACATAGTGTCTAGTGTCCCGTAAGTTAACAGCCATACTCCCGAAAATAGTCCATAGGGTCAAAATAAAATGAAAATCTATAATGTTTTTTTTTATCAAAGATTGCTTTCATATCCAAATATCTGCCATTTTGTATTTTTACATAAAAATTTTCTTTGGAATTTTCCAACCGATCATTATGAATCTTGGTCTGTATGTTAGAGTAGAAGATACCTATGACGTCTGAAAAGAATTTAGCTTGGTCCAATCCAAAATTTCAAAATGGCGACCAATTACATTCAATGATTTGATTTTAAAAATAGCCAATATTGTTAAAATTCCAAGAACACCTTTATTTAGCATTTAAAGTTTCCTATCGAAAGACATCAAGCTCCAAAAAATCGAATAAAAATTGCTGAAATATCACGATTTTTAGTTGTAAGATTAGGTGGATAAGGCTAAGCCAGTCAGGTTACCCCTCACTTTGCCTTACTTTACAACAAAAAATCGTAATATTTAAACTATTTTTCATGTAGTATTTATGAACTTGTTGTGGTATCCAAACGAATCTCCAGATGTACGTATCCTCAATGGACAAGAGTTCAAAGTTGGTAAATTACTTGTGTTCAAGAATAAATTATTTGGCCTTCTGGCACAGTTGACTTTCTGCAACACACCCTACTTCCCTTATACTAGGGGACAGTTTATAACTGGCATTATTGTACTGTTTGTAAATGTTTGGAATACAATTTGAGCGAGTCTAATAGGATACGTATTCTACAATGAGTATTTGTGCTGTTTACTGCGTTTACATTATGGTGCATATTTTAACCAATACTATAATCGGGAATGATAAGGTATTAAAAGATTCACCAGTCAACAACTGTCCCTGCTTTTCATATTTTACGCTCAACGCTTGAGAGGTTATTTGGTAGAGAAGACTTGCAAGTTCTAACTTGGCCTCTCAAATAAAGGCATTTTTAATTTCATTAACACTGAAGTTGATTTTTCTAATTCAAAATAAAACTATTTGGAATTTTTCTCAACACTGAATGTCGATTGACATTTTGTTTGTTTGTTGTGCAGATTTTCCATTTAGGAATCAGCTATTACCGGAGGTCTCATGGTAAGACCTAGACCAAGGACCGATTTATTTTTTCGATTTGATGTCCCCAGAGGCCAAAAAAGCTATCCATTCACATTCACATATATACATATATGATATATACAATATACATATATGTGTGTATCCGTTAGCATGATAACTCAAGCAAAAATTATCCGATTTCGATGACATTTGGTACAAACATGTAAACCTAGGTTTATTCGAACGAGTTTACGAACCAACATGATCAGACTATGGGAACGGGATTGTCGGCGGGTTTTACGGGATAACAATTGGTTTTCCATCTTTGACCATCAAAACATAAAATATGGCAAATTCGTTCTAAACCATTGTATAGAGCTTTTATAGTTACATAGGAAAGAAAACCAACAACCATTTTTAGTAAATTTGATACGAGTTGGAAAAAGGCTCTCGATGCCGTTGATGATAATTACATAGCAAGTAATTGAATATCCATTCCACTATAATCCACCTGTATTTAATATGAACAAACATACAAACCGAGATCAGCAACATCTTGCTAAAAAACACATGGAATCCGGTCTGACATAAAAGTCAGCGAATTCGGAATCGGGTCCTATACACATTATAAAGTTAAGTATTCAAGCCGCTCGTGCCAGGAGTGCAAAGTATTTCTATTCCAAAACTACTAACGGGAAAATAGACTCCATGTAAATAGCTGTATTTGAAATATTAGAATTATGTTATGCTGAAAGAAATGTACCACAATTAAGTTGTTTATGAACTTTTAGTTTTATTCTACGTTGTTTTCAACTCGTTTGCTTCAGTATTGTTGAATACTGTATTTGTGCTAAATAAAAAAAAAACATATATACATATTACATACTTTATAATATACTGTTCTATTTCTTATACAAGAATATTATTCACACATCTTGCTTGAACAAACTCTATTTTCAAACTAAACTAATGTTTACAAAAACATCTGACAACAAACATATTTAAACACATGATAAAAGAACAGACTTAATACAACATCCCGCTTCAAGATGTCCACATCTTTATGAACCTCAGTACCGCCTCGGTTTCTTAATGGACCTTCCGTAACGGGTTACTGTGTGCTCCTGGACGATCACGTGAGTTGCATGGACGATTAAGGACCATGGATGAACAGTTTGAAAGAATTCCATCTCCTCCGTAGTACGGTGCAGGAACTAAGAACTTCCTGTTTCGGCGAATAGTTCTCTTGTCAGTTTCCACAAGGTAGGAACGTGGTTCGTTCAATTTCCTGACTACCTTACCATGTCGACGAAGATCTGTGATCCATACCATGCTTCCAACTTCTAATTCACTTAAACCACTCGCTCCATGTCGTTTATCAAATTGTATCTTGTACTTATTCTGGTACTTATTCTCCCTCTCAAGAAAATTCTTATTTTCCACAGGATTTCCAACCAAAGTAGATGGAAGATTGTCTCTTAATTTCCTTCCAAACATAAGTTCAGATGGGGAAAAGCCGGTTTCAAGAGGTGAGGTCCGGTAAGAAAGTAGGGCAAGTTCAAATTTATCCTTGTTTTTCTTCATTAGCCCTTTTGCTACTTTCACAGCTGCTTCAGCTGCCCCATTTCCCTGATGGTGGTGGGGACTACTTCTGAATGTGGAGAACCCCCACTCCTTTGCAAACAATTTAAATTCACTTGAGTCAATATGGTGAAATTGTGTCCCACTATCTGAATAAACACGTTGAGGAATTCCAAAACGTGAAAATGTGGTTTTGCAAACCCGAATCACATCTGAAGCCCTCATTCGATGCATTTCCTCGACTTCAAAGTATCTTGAGTAGTGATCCACGATAACCATATACCACTTGTCTTCGTGTTTGAACAAGTCAACAGACACATTTTGCCACGGGTAATCCGGGACAGTTCTCGGAATCAATGGTTCACTGTGATTAGTTGAGTTCTGAATACACACTGGACACGATTTGATTTTCCTTTCTATTTCTTGAGAAATTCCAGGCCACCACATGGTTCCCAAAGCACGTTTCCTTGTTTTTGTGATTCCCAAGTGTCCACTGTGAAGCCTCTCGAGCATTTCCGCTCGTAGTTCTTGAGGTATTATCATCCGAGTTCCTCGAAGCAATAGCCCATCAATACAACTTAACTCGTCTTTCACATTAAAGTACTCTTGAATCTCATTAGGTAAACTTGATTTTACAGGCCATTCGTCTAAAATTTGTAACTTAAGTTGTGCACAGATTGGATCTCTCATTTGTGAGTGAAGTACCTTTGTCACATTTTCATCTGTAGTGTTTATACTAATCAGACTGATTTCGTGGACGAAGGCTTCCACTTCTTCGGCCAATTCGCCATCTTCGTCAGCCGGAATAGGACTTCTTGATAGTAGATCTGCTATGGCAAGGTCTTTTCCTGGGGTCCAGGTCATGCAATAATCGTATCTCATCATACGCATTCGGAACCGCTGTAGCCTCGGTGAGAGCTCGTCCAAATTTTGTGTTTTGAAAATTGAGACAAGCGGTTTGTGGTCGGTCTCAATTGTGTACATTTTACCCATCAGGAAACATTTCAAACGGTCACTTGCCCATGTGCACGCAAGCGCTTCTCTCTCAATGTTACTATAGTTTTCTTCAGCAGGCGTTAGAGTCCGAGATATATATGCCACAGGTTTCTTGTTTTCTCCTTCAACTTGAAGTAAAACCGCTCCAAGACCTTTTTTTGAAGCATCGCAAGAAAGAATCGAGGGTTTTTGCGGATCGTAAACAGTCAAACATGGCTCTGATGATAAAATCTGTTTTACTGTGACAAAAGCGTTTTCTTGAGCTGGTCCCCAAAGGAAATCGTTTTTAGTCTTTAACAAGCTCGTAATTGGCTCCAAAATCTCACTGCGGTTCGGAATAAATTTTGCCAGAAAAGTGATCATGCCCATGAATCTTTGTACTTCATTAGCGTTTCTTGGAGCTGGTAAGTCCACAATCGCTTGTACCTTGCTTGGATCAGGCTTGATTCCGTCCTTAGACAGCACAAACCCCAGAAATGTCACAGTCTTCTTGCAGAACTCCGACTTCTGCTTATTCAAGGTGATTCCATTAGCTTGCACTCTCTCTAGAACGGCCCTAAGACACTCGTCGTGTTCTTCTTTCGTTCTTCCCCATATCAGACAGTCGTCAATGTGCACTAAACAGTTCTTTGCCCCTTCTAAAGCTTTTGACATGCGGCGCTGAAACTCTTCAGGAGCGGACGTAATTCCAAAAGGTAACTTACGGAATTTATACCTCCCAAAAGGGGTGATAAATGTTGTGTAATCTTGTGACTCCTCTGCAAGGTTCAGTTGCCAGAACCCGGAATTCGCATCGATCTTGCTGAAGTACTTGGCTCCCGCGATCTCGGCCAATGAAAGTTCGATCTTTGGGATAGGATAAAACCGACGTTTCACACTGTTGTTGAGTTTGGATAGGTCTACGCAGATCCTAACCCCACCTCCCTTTTTTGCGCAAACTACCATTGGTGCGCACCAATCAGTCGCGTGTTCAACTGGAACAATCACTCCTTTCTCAAGCATATCGTCTAACTGCTCTTTCACCTTGGTTTTTAAAGGTATTGGTACAACCCTGGGGGTGGATATAGCGTAAGGAACTGCATTCTCCTTCATTTCAATCTTGTACTCTCCTTTCATATTTCCCAGTCCTTGAAATAAATTAGGATACTTAGTAGCCCAGTCAATATCATGTGAATCTACAGAAAAAATTCTCCTCACCAGGTTCAGCTCTTCACAGGAACGTCTGCTAAGAAGTGGAACAGTGATCTCTTCAGAAATATACGCAAGATCATAAACTGATACACCCTTATGTTCAAGCTTTAGCCTTAAAGTTCCCAAAATATTGATTCGTTCTTTCTTCTTTGCGCTAAACACAGGGGATTTGCACTTTCCTAGAGGCAGAGTCTTAATAAAATCACCAAGAACTCCTACTGGAATCATGGTTACATCAGCTGCTGTGTCAAGTTTAAATTTTATAAGACCTAAATCTTGGTTTCCACAGCTTGCTTTTACCTCCTGGACCCAGGCTTTGTCACTGCTGTCTATATTCCCTATGAAAATCTCAGGAACCTGTTGATAACCACTGTCTGAATCTTGCTGTTCGATTTCCTTAACAACGTTTTTGTTTTTTCTCATCCACTTTTCGCGGGAGGGACAACATCGAAAAAAATGTCCAATCTCGGAACATTTGTCACATTTGGCTTTCCTAGCGGGGCATTCGGCCAGTGATCCGTGCCAGTTATAACCACATTTCCTGCACTTTTTTCTCATAGCATCCTCGGTGAATTTCTGTTCACCAGCTCTTTCAGACAGATTTGTTTTACCGACTTGTATTGACGTTTGATTCACCATAAAAACATTAGTATTGGCGAGCTCACGTTTTTGGCGTTCTAGCTCCTCGTGTTGGCGCAAGGTATTAATCGCCTTCTCCAGAGTCAATTGAGAGTCCAGCTGGAGTCTATCACTTAGAGCCTCATCTTTCATACCAATAATGAGGACCAGAAGCACCATCTCATCGTTCAGTTCACCCCATGCACACGTTTTTGCAAGACCATGCAAATCTGTTATGAATTTTTCAGATGGATCACTCCCTTGCTTGTGTCTCAGAAATTTTGTTCTCTCATAAATGATATTTCGTCTTGGTACAAAGTATGCATCAAAGGCCCGAAGAGCCTCGTCATAAGTATTCGGTTTTGGTGAAAACGAATCGAAAATATCTTCACTCCTACTACCCATTGTAAACAAAAGTACATCGATTTGCCGAGCGTCGGAAGTGCTATCTAGACCGCACCCCCGTCTGTACCTTTGAAAGCGATTCCTCCAGGAATGCCACTCATTCGGAGTAAAAGAGAAGGTATCTGGAGTTGGTAACGTCAGATTTATCATAGGAGTAGGAGTACACATTACTGCATTATTTTCTCGGTTTGTCTGTCCCAATGCAAAACCTAGTGACTCACCTTCAGTCTTTCTAGAATCCCTTTCTGACATGTAGTTGAATTCACTTTGGGCATCCTCCTCATTGTCCTCATACCTTTGCCTACGAGTATTTCGTTTTTTTCTGCCCTTACTTGACATCATGCGTGGTTTTAGACTTTGTTCGATAAAAAATCCACTAAGCTGCCACCATGTTCTATTTCTTATACAAGAATATTATTCACACATCTTGCTTGAACAAACTCTATTTTCAAACTAAACTAATGTTTACAAAAACATCTGACAACAAACATATTTAAACACATGATAAAAGAACAGACTTAATACAACATATACCCTAACGAATAACCGAGTTTATCCAAAACCGTGAGTTCAAAAATGAAAATGCTAACCCATCTGTGTATTTTCACAGTTTCTACCAGGATTCATTATTAGTTACATACTGAAAATAACGCTTAGGGAATAACTTGTATTATTTGCTACATTGTGTGCTATGTGCAACTTGTGTTGGATTATTACCATACTCTCTATTTTTACTTATTGTTGTGTTATTGAGCTAACTTTATTCTGTATTAGTTACTTTCTCGGCTGAGAACGGGTCCAAATTCCAGATCCAAAAACGTCATGAAAACTTGTTTTGTACTAAAAGTGATGGGAAATCTCTGCAATTATCCCTTAAGTATCACAAAATCAAACAACGGGTGGTTCACCTTAAATGGTACAATAAATACATTTGAGCCATTTTTAAGACTCATACAAGACTACTTAACGTTGTACCGCCCTCAAACACAAAACCATTGACGGTGAAGTCAGCTGTTCCGATTACAACGGATTTATGGCGACCAAAATAAGTGCAATAATTTATGTCGAGTTGCACGCTGCTATTTCCGCTCCCACTCGGCGTGGAATTGCATTGACGAAGGGTTGCAACACTGCCTAGCACGGGTGACCATAAAACTGTTATGGGTTGTGGGCATTGAGATGGGTTATGTATGGAAGGATGTAGTAGCGTTATAGGTTGGGCGAGAAGGATTATATGGGTTATTCAAAATGGGTAGTCTTGTGGTTTATCTATATTTTGGTGTGTTTTATTTCAACTCTGAACTCTCCTCCACTTTTCTGAGAGTGAACAAATATTGAGTCATAGCTGGACATTGGCATGACTTGACGAACTTGATATTGTGCGACTTACCTTAAGGTTGTGATTTCAGAGGATAAACTAATAGTTTACAAATGTATTGTTTTATTTGGCTGCAGTAATCTATAGTCCGATCAATAAAAAGGAATTCTAAGTAAACGTCAAAACATACAATAAATATACAAGACTATATTTGAATAGGTCTTCATTTAATCCATAAGATGACAGATGTATAGGGGAGATGTTTACTGCATGGTTTGAGATACTTTAACGTTCAAAATACTGGACTGGAACCTTTTATTAATGCCCATGTAATAAAGAGGAAGAAAGGTTCTTGAATTCTTTTATAAATACAACATAAACAGCGATTTGTATGCAATATAAAAGTTTCAAGAAAATGATGAACAGTCACATAGTAATAATAATAATAATAATAATAATTTTAATAATAATAATAACAATTTCAATTACTTTTCATTAAAAGTTATTTGCTCATCGATCCCCATAAATGTCAATTTACGTTGACACTAATTCAAATAAGCTAAACCCTAATCAATCCGTCCTTTGTAATGTAGATTCTGATTTACTTACAAATTTACATTGATTGTCGTTCTGCAATTTGTCCGTCGTGTGACCGCCTGAGTCCCCGGACTACAATTTAGTGCTGACCACTCAATTTAAAACATAGTCCTGTAGTAAACATTGTAGCAGTGTAGGGAACATCAGCATGTGTAGGTTGCTGACAACAAAACCCGTTTTCGACTTTTTCAAACACCCCTCAATAAGGACAAGGTCTGTGGTTATCTAAAGGTAGTGAGGCACTTTTGAGGAGTAAGACAAGACGTGAATGTGTGCGGAGGGTCTCGAGCCAGCAACATCTACCTTGTGTGATTGTATGCGGGGGTCTCGAGCCAGCAACATCTACCTTGTGTGATTGTATGCGGGGGTCTCGAGCCAGCAACATCTACCTTGTGTGATTGTATGCGGGGGTCTCGAGCCAGCAACATCTACCTTGTGTGATTGTATGCGGGGGTCTCGAGCCAGCAACATCTACCTTGTGTGATTGTATGCGGGGGTCTCGAGCCAGCAACATCTACCTTGTGTGATTGTATGCGGGGGTCTCGAGCCAGCAACATCTACCTTGTGTGATTGTATGCTGAGGGTCTCGAGCCAGCAACATCTACCTCGTGTGATTGTATGCGGAGGGTCTCGAGCCAGCAACATCTACCTCGTGTAATTGTATGCGGAGGGTCTCGAGCCAGCAACATCTACCTTGTGTGATTGTATGCTGAGGGTCTCGAGCCAGCAACATCTACCTCGTGTGATTGTATGCGGAGGGTCTCGAGCCAGCAACATCTACCTTGTGTGATTGTATGCTGAGGGTCTCGAGCCAGCAACATCTACCTTGTGTGATTGTATGCGGAGGGTCTCGAGCCAGCAACATCTACCTCGTGTGATTGTATGCGGAGGGTCTCGAGCCAGCAACATCTACCTCGTGTAATTGTATGCGGAGGGTCTCGAGCCAGCAACATCTACCTTATGTAATTGTATGCAGAGTGTCTCGAGCCAGCAACATCTACCTTGTGAGATTGTGTGCGGAGGGTCTCGAGCCAGCAACATCTACCTCGTGTAATTGTATGCGGAGGGTCTCGAGCCAGCAACATCTACCTTATGTAATTGTATGCAGAGTGTCTCGAGCCAGCAAGATCTACCTTATGTAATTGTATGCAGAGTGTCTCGAGCCAGCAACATCTACCTTGTGAGATTGTGTGTGGAGGGTCTCGAGCCAGCGACATCTACCTTGTGAGATTGTGTGCGGAGGGTCTCGAGCCAGCAACATCTACCTCGTGTAATTGTATGCCGAGGGTCTCGAGCCAGCAACATCTACCTTATGTGATTGTATGCGGAGGGTCTCGAGCCAGCAACATCTACCTTATGTAATTGTATGCAGAGTGTCTCGAGCCAGCAACATCTACCTTGTGAGATTGTGTGTTGTGTATTGGGCTCGATCAGTCTGAGACACTTATCGGTTCAGTATACATGACCTAAAATAATTATACACAAGTACACCAAACAATATTTAGCGTACAGATATCAGTAACTGCAACCCCATTCACTCGACTACCTTTTATTTAGCATTAACTGTTCCTGTAGCTGTCTCATAGCTTAGTTGTAAATAGTATTTTAATTAATTTAGTTTTAATTTTTAAGAATATTTCTAATTTGTAATAGAGCTCGTCCCGCGCACAGGTATTTTACGGCCTATGCGGGACTATTGTTCGTATTTTGTATATGTATATATTGTAAAAATTTTTGGAAATAAAGCAGATTTTGATTAGATTTTGATTTGATTTGTGTACGGAGGGTCTCGAGCCAGCAACATCTACCTCGTGTAATTGTATGCGGAGGGTCTCGAGCCAGCAACATCTACCTTATGTGATTGTATGCGGAGGGTCTCGAGCCAGCAACATCTACCTTGTGAGATTGTGTGCGGAGGGTCTCGAGCCAGCAACATCTACCTCGTGTAATTGTATGCCGAGGGTCTCGAGCCAGCAACATCTACCTTATGTGATTGTATGCGGAGGGTCTCGAGCCAGCAACATCTACCTTATGTAATTGTATGCAGAGTGTCTCGAGCCAGCAACATCTACCTTGTGAGATTGTGTACGGAGGGTCTCGAGCCAGCAACATCTACCTCGTGTAATTGTATGCGGAGGGTCTCGAGCCAGCAACATCTACCTTATGTGATTGTATGCGGAGGGTCTCGAGCCAGCAACATCTACCTCGTGTAATTGTATGCGGAGGGTCTCGAGCCAGCAACATCTACCTTATGTGATTGTATGCGGAGGGTCTCGAGCCAGCAACATCTACCTCGTGTAATTGTATGCGGAGGGTCTCGAGCCAGCAACATCTACCTTATGTGATTGTATGCGGAGGGTCTCGAGCCAGCAACATCTACCTCGTGTAATTGTATGCGGAGGGTCTCGAGCCAGCAACATCTACCTCGTGTGATTGTATGCGGAGGGTCTCGAGCCAGCAACATCTACCTCGTGTGATTGTATGTGGAGGGTCTCGAGCCAGCAACATCTGGTGATGTTGTGACCCATCATTTTGAATTAATTTTTTATGCTGAACTCAATACCGCAATCCGTTTTTCATATTCAAATTTGGTTTTTGAAATATTGACAATTTAAATATAATAGTTGTAATATTTCATCAAGACAGCTTGATAACAAAAAAATGTATTGCGGCATTGAGTTCAGCATAAAAAAGTTGTTCAAAATTATGGGCCACAACACCGGCTTTATATTAAAAAAAATTGATCACTTTTCAAAATAACATCCGTCAAAACCCAGTGAAAATAGGTCGACAATGAATGGTGGTGTATACTTATCTTTATCTAGCACTATTTTGAGATTATGGTCTTAGTTTGTAAATGCAAAATGTTAAAATGGGCTAAAAATAAAGTCACAAAAAGTTCTCATAACTTTAGAATGGATCAAGATTGTTTTAAACGGATTGCAGAATCGTATTCAGCGTAAAAATCTAGGTTGAAACGATGGATCACAACCCTACCTTTACAATTGAAAAAAACTATGTATCCAATATGGCGGATCCAAGATGGCGGCCAAAGATTTATACCCAATAAAAATGAAGTACTAACTACTCTACAATGATCTGACGTGGTCCGGAGTTTATATCTTAAGAAATGTAGAAAAATGTCGGGGGAACTCATTTAAAACTCACCCTGTACATCAATTTGGAAATACATTAGATACAGAATACAGTAACTTATACAGTACAGTAACTTATATCCACAGATAAGATATACTTTAATGTATCTATTCACCATTTGAAGGTAAAGATTGAAATGATTAATGAACAGTTCGATTCCGAATTAAGTTGGGCTCGTATTAAAAACTGAGATTATTTTTTGTTGTTGTAAAATAATTAGCTTTTTGTTGTTGAAAGGGCAACTTTAATTTTTAAAGGGTACAATGTA